AAAAAAAAAAAAAAAAAAAAAAAAAAAAAAAAAAAAAAAAAAAAAAAAAAAAAAAACGATGCGAGAGTTCACCTTCTGCGCTATCGGATTTGGGAGCCATTGATGGGTGAAGTGCAGAGAAATGGGCGGGAAAGTGCTTTCCCTTACTTCTTGTGGCAGCCGACGTGTAAGAGATATCGAAAAAAAGTTTTTTTCTTACAAAAATAATATTTAATTTTTTTTGTGTTTTAAAATAAAGCTTGTAAAATTTACTTGTCTTTATATTAATATAATAAATTGATGATATATTTTATAGCGAGTGATAAATATTTTTATTTATTTTTAGTATAATTAATAAAGATAAAATTTGAATCTCCAGAAAAATAATTACATGTCGCTATTGAGCTATGTTACCTGGATCATTAGAGTGATATACGAGGGTAAAAGGGGAATTGTCAAAAATGTTTAAATGGGCCCACAAAAAAAGAGATTATATTTGCTATTAATTTAACTTATTTGTCATATATGGTATGATTTCAAATGTGTATTGTTTGTGTCAGAAACGTATTCTTAAAATATAAAGAACACAAAGGTGTGAGCTGTAAATAATTACAAACTAACGTACTTCTGCTAGCTACCAACTCAATTAATTTTCTTTTCAATGGAAAAAACATTCAATATTGTAAAAAGAAAATAATATATATATATATATTATATATATAGAGACTTTTTTTTTTTTTTCTCGAGAGATTGGTCCTAAGTTAAAATTAAAATCGAATTGAGTTACTATGGGCCTTTAGAAAAAAAATAAATAATAAAAAATAATTAGAGCTTCTATTTAAAGTGGACAATTATAAGAGTCAAAATCAAAAGTAAAGCACTTATGCTCAAAATGAACAGTTTGTGGTTCTAACATTTACTGTCCATCTACCTCACCTCCACCAACCACCAACCGTAGTCATTCATAATATTTTATATAAATGATTACAATATTTTCATTGGCATGAGACATATTTTATAATTTAAAAAAAAAAAACCATTAATATTTATGTCGAGAGTAAAAAATAAGAGACATAACTGGAATTAAGTTGTCCTTAACCCTAAATTATTGTAAAGATTTATTATATTTTTCTTTTAACTTTCAACTTTGTGTCAATTATCTAGTGTCTATTGATACGACGACTCTAATGAATTAGAATTAAACTCAACAATGAATAAATCAAGATACTAAATATTCAATCCTATACTCGTTTAACAAAAGATAAAGATCATATATCTAATACAAAGTCTAAACTTTGATACTAAATGATATGAAACTTTAGTGGGCTGAAACTAAGAAGTGAACCCCTAATTTTCAACTAACAAAACTTCCAAATCAACTAAATTTTAACTATAAGAATTAAGTCCTAACATGTATTGCCTTAACATCAAGTTATTAAGACAAATAACAACTTCATTAGCTCAAGATTCAAGCACGGTACCAAATAGGGTAATTAATTAGGTATTTATTGCAATTCAATTTAATTGCGTCGTTTTTAACTCAAATGAGTACATTAGTTAAAACTCAATTCATTGTATAATTTAATGGTTAGACTTTAGATAACCTCAAAAAAAAAAAAAAAAAAAAAAAGTGTTAATCATGGATCGTACTAAATGGCATAAATACCCCTAAAAAGTTACATAAAAACTATTAAATCACAAAAAGTAATACGGTGGTTGATGTCATTTGTATTGCGAAGAAATTATAGTAAATCTATAAATCTACTATTTCATGTCTAACAGAGTATTATCAATTATATTCATTTAACACTCATTTAAACCATACGTTAACAAGTTCTAAAAGATTATTTAGTATTTTTAATTAGTTGAATTACCGAATTACCGATTAACTTCTCAAATGCATATAGTTTACTAGTTTACTAGTTTTAAATTTGATAAGTTAGATTAAATTAATATAAATAATTGATATGTAAATATTTTGTAGAAGTTAAAAAGAATTTAAATTTTCATACTCTATTTATTATATTAAAAAAATCATAAAACAAAAGCGAACCTTTACTTTACCTCCTAATTAATAAAAGAAAAGAAAAAAAAAAAAACAAGTTTGATTAACTTCACTTTGCCGAAATCATCGTCTCAATAATTCCATGCCGAAAATAGGCGGCAACTCCTAGGAGCTTGACGCGTGGAGGAAAAAACGAGCGAATTAAAATAATTTAATCAGTGGGCCAAATAGTAATTTCGTCAATCTTCGACCATAACGTATTGCAGGATACTCATAATCTCATCCGACAGAATTTGTTGCGATCCGAATGGTTGCTTGCTTTTGTTCTGTGTTTTGTCCTTCCAAATCATCCCAGCAAGGAACCATCAACCAACGCCGACGTGTCGATTAAATTGCTTCACCACTCCTCACATGTCTGTCCAACCATGGTCTCGGTCTACTGAAATACGACACGTCGTTTCATTTTTGATATAACACTATTTAAATATGACATGACCCTCAGTGTTTATTAGACATTTTAAAATTTATTAACATGCTATATATAAAACTTACTTATAATTTAACCAAGCAAGTTTTAATTTTAATTTTTTTTTTTGCTAATTTTTGTTTCTTATATAAGTATTACGTTTCTTTTTTACCTAATATTTAGTAACACTAATGTTTTAGTAAATGATTTTCAATCCAAACATAACTTAGTGAACAAATATATAACAAGGTTTAAAGGAAAAAGTAAAAGTATAAAATTGATAGTGAATTTTTAAAATTTATATATTTACTAAATACTCTATAATTAATAAATGAATATAAAATTAAAAATCTAGGAATTTATTACAAAGGAAGTTATATTAGACTTGGAAAATAAATGAACCTTCAAACTTATAAATAATGTATTAATGTTGTCTAGGGAAAATAATGTATATATCTTCAAAAGTGCGATGTGGGAGGTGTCACTATCTGGTTGGTTGGCGGTTACTTAGGGAGTCAGTTAAATATTATTTTTTTCTCCTCGAGCCAATTCGTTGAACGTTATCAGTTACCGAACCCGCCGGTTATATTTTACATAATTATGTGTTTATTAAGAAAAAGAAAAGAAAAGAAAAGAAAATCTTGCGCTGTCACCGCCAGCCTCACCATCATCACCAATTCCCCTTCGTGTAATACGGTGGGCGTGTAACCATCTTGTAATAGGCTGTCACCGCCGGTTATATTTTACAGTTACATACACTAACCATCTTGTTCATTTGAGTTCCACAATTCATTATTATATCCTTTTTTTTTTTTTTTTTTTTTTTTTTTTTTTTTTTTTTTTTTTTTTTTTTTTTTTTTTT